AACATTCTGGAAATATATCTAACGGATTAGATCATTCTAATCATTATCACATGCTATTATCGTAAAGATTAAGTTATGGAAATGTTAAGGGTCACTATAGTATCATAAAAAATTGCCAAAATCTTCACTGTTTCAAACAAAAAGAGCAAATTAACGCTGATTTTTGTTCATAATGCATGTTATTTTACTTTTAAGGCCAAATTTGAAACATTTCTTAGAGTCTGTAAATGGTGTGATCTGAAAGAAAATTATATCGTAAACGTCACAAATAAAATCAAAGCGCTGAAAGCACTCAATACGACACAGCTTCACAAAGACATTTAGGTAGCACTTTATAATACCAATTTACGGTTAATGAACGTATATTTTATGGCTTGATAATATGTTGGTATATTGAACATCTCTGCTTTAATATGAATAAAATGGCGCATGAAGTGTTTTTTACACTGTAACGTTTATATGTTACTGTTTTAGAACATGATTACACCAAAAGAAAAATGTTTGAATTCCATTAACCCTGCATTATTACATTAGAATCGGAATATAACGTCTACATCGCGATTGAAACAGATATGTCTGACAATCAGAATCAATTAAAACATGCCCATTGACGTATAATTATAACCAAGTTAACAGGTATTCATTTTGTTAATTCGTCATTTCGATTTTTTAAGAACCTAATAATTAGCGTTCGTAACTTCTCGATCCTTTCTAGAACGTCGAGCACAATGGTTATAGTGCACAGAAAGGATACGGTATTTCGTTCTAATATACGCTAAATGTCTTCTTTCTTAGAAAGGGTGGCAACCAAGATCCGTTGTTATGCCTAAACGTAGCATTTCATTTCAGACCAGGAATAGGTTATAAACATACCCGTGCCGCTTTTGCGACTCCGTAAAAATGGTATTGCACGGCTGTGCATATATTTTGACGTGATGTCATTTGTATTATACAAACGTAGTGTAAAGACGCGCTAAATGTTAGCGTTATACTATAGGCGCGTCAATGAATCAAAGCACAGAAGGCACTGAATTTGTTTTGGTCTCAGAATGACGGAAAGGTTAAGGTTGTGAGATTATAAACCAATTTGTTTTTGCATAGTGCCACCAAGACATCCACACCTCTCCCTTCCTAACCGAGCGTGTAACCCCCGACCACGGTGAAGTTTGAAGTTAACAGACTGAAGAAAACCACATTATTCTAAATTAGGGTTTGTAACCCTTATTAATTTAGCGGTAAACCTGTTGTTTAACATTGATGTAAATAATCATGGAGCTTAATATGAGCAGGTTTATCTGTAAAGAATAACACAATATTAGTAATCTTCAACCAATCGGGAACAATTTTTTTCCCCGAGAAGGCTTGAAAATTAATGCGCCTGTCATTTGACAATCTTTACGCAGTGATTTCACCTTAATTTTTCGGCGTTAGTGTACTTATAAAGGGAAGTAACCGCTTCGAGGAGTTTGGACAACTTTCAGTATTTGCAAATAAGCACATCAGGGTCTGAAATTCTGCTACCATTATTTGTTTGGCGTTTTGACTTAAACAAATAAAAATGACTCTTTTCCACTTAACACGGTCTTTATTATTAGTGTAAGTTCATTACTGAATTTATCGAACTCGTTGGTTAAAATAATATCATGCTCGCCAGAGGCTCACATAATATAATTTTATCCAACTCGTTCAATAAATTCAGTATTGAACTTACACTCATTTAAATAAATATCCTCTATTTATTGCTGTTCGTCATATGCGATAATGGTACTAGAATTCTTTATGACCATTATGGACATTTTCGAGCCATCATCGCATAATGACCTGTAACAACCATATATTAACGTCTAAAGTAGGGTGAGCCCTCAGAAATGTTGAAAAATATTAAGATTAAATAATTGAAGGTTGTTAAGTTGATATCAATCAACGTGAGACGAATGTGATGTGTTTTGAAAATTATTTACGCCTTTTGAAAACAAATGGACTGCCATGTAATTGCAACTTCCTGTACTACGTCTGCGTATTTCTCAGGATTTTCCTGATGTCTCACCATTCAAAGAAATGTATTTTGACAACAAAGTTTATTGTAAAGTATTAATGGAAACTAACCACAACCAGTTGTTCTTGGCATCGGTTATTTGTCATTTGAACGTTCGATCAGTCAATATACGAAACAGCCTAAGCTGTCCTTGAAAAGCGAAGTTACATGCAATGTAATATGTTTTAGTCTCAAGTAATAGACTCGTGATTTCGTCACTATTCACAAAGAAGAAAAAACATTGTAAACTGCCAATAAATAATACTATCCTTTCTGACACGTACGTTTAAATTTGTTAAAATCTTAATGGAATAAATCTTAAATGTTCAGGTAAAACATTTTTTCTTACAATTTCTTTTGTGTTATAATTTTTTATTTAACAGTAAGGTGCGAAATAGAACAGCGTTATACGAAAATCGGCAGCGAATGTTATATCCGCTAGAAGAAATCAGCGTTAGTGATCATTATTTTGTCTTCATATCGCTCTGAGCGGTGCTTATTGGGCCATTTTGTTTTGATGCGAAAGAGGATAACATATAGTTATTTGAGGCGTCAATTTGTTAAATTAAAAAAAATAAGATGAGATTTGTATATTACTAATTAACAAAATAAATGTCTGTATTTAATTACATGTAATATTGTTTCAAACAGATTTTGATATCTTGTTTCGTCAAGTTTCAGGTTCATCGTCTCCGTTTTTACAAGGATGCCAAATTTAATAGCAAATATGATACCAGATATTTTCAAAGTTTAATTAAATAAAAACTACACGGTTAAAGTATTTTATATTTTGCAAGACCAACCAATATACATTTAAGAAAATTTAGGCAAACTTTGAAAACAGCCACTCATTTTGGAAAATTTTAGGGATATTTTGAATAATGCTTTTAACATAGGGAAATGGTTAAATAAGTGTTTAAAGTGGTTGGGGAAGGGTTACATTTTTGTACATATTAAAAACATTTCGTTTAGAAACAATCATTTTGCTTTGTTAATTTGTTACCTGAATGTCATTATTTGTTTGTTAACAATGAGCAATAGGAAAACATTTTTCATAATGATGATATTGTAGATTATTTAGAGTTTCCTAATTTCGGGGAAAAAAACCCTTCTAATGGCAAAGTTTTAATTCAGAAAAATGCCCATAACGGTAAATTTTGTTTATATTTTGCATACAGGTGACATTTAAGGCATATAACTGTCCTATGTTGTCAATTTTACAGATCCTTATAGTGCCCATTAGGGGTGTTCTACCTTAATGCATTTTATTAGATAAATAGTTATTCATTAGATTCAAAATTGGGAATATGTCAAAAAGGTGATTGAAGCAGTCGCTGATCTTTGTTGCTTCCTACCTTTCCATCCTATGACGAAGTAGCCCGATCGCAGCATTTCTGATTTGGCTTTTTCTTATTATTAGGTCGACTTTTTGTTGTTGAAAAAGTAAGTAGAGGTATTGTTATAGTCCTGGCGGCGTTGCCGTTGACGTTGCCGTAGTCGTTGTCGTCCGCAGACTTGTACCTTGATCATAACTTTTTTAGTTCTTAGTGTGTTGACTTCATACTTGGCCACAACAACCCATGGGTCAAGAACTTTCAGTAGACTATACTAACCTTGACCTTCATCCATAAATGACCTTGACCTTCGATGTCAAATATCAAAATTTTGCTTGTTCTTGCTATTGGCTATAAATTTGTTATTTTTGACTGGATTGTATTCAAACTTAAAAATAATAGTTTCCAATGATAGCCCTTTAAATTAATCAGACAGACTTTGACCTTCACTCATAAATGACCTTGACTTTGAAGGTCAAATTATTGAAATTTTCATTTTTGGCTGTAACTGGCTGTAACTTTGCTATTATTTAATGGATTGACTTCATATTATAACAGAACATTCTTAAGGTCAAGACCTTCATGTATATCTATCTCAAATTGACATTGACTCTTTTATTACGTTGGCCTTGAAGGTTAAATTATTGAATTTTCACTGATTTGTGCTTTAATGGACTATATATTATTTTTTTCTGTAAAACATATGCATATATATTTTTTCCTTCTGAATTTTGATTATATTTTCTTTTTATTGTTATTTATATATGGAAAGGATTCATACTTTGACAAAATTAGTGTGACAAGACTGACCTATTAAAGTTATTAAAAGGAAACGTTGTTCAAATGTTTCTTTGTTTGCTGATAGCAAAACTAAAAAATCGAGCGTTGCCCCCGCCGGCGGTAGCTTTGTATTAAATTTGTTACATTCTCCTTTCGCCGGAATGCAGAACTCAAACGTTTAAGAAGTACACGTACAGATTTCTTTAAGTATTGTTCAATGGAGTTGTTTCTTTATTTCCTGTAAATCTGTAAATCTTTTGACAAATATATGCCACCTCACCTTGTCATATGCTATGTTTTTCTTTAAAGGTGCTTAAACGCTGATATATGTTTGGGGTAATTAGGAAATAGATATCAATTCTGAGTGCATTGTTGTAGAATAATGCACAGTTTGAGTTCAAATGCTTAGGAATATAATCACGAAGGCCGATAGGCGCTACATTGTGATGTCACATAAACAACACTTTAAACGTCTGTACAGAGTTAATGACTGAATTAATGATATTGGTGTTCGGATTTATTTTCTTAGTTAGATCCCCATTTTTATCATTCCAGATAGTTTCTAGAACAAAATTCAACAAAAGTTGTTTCTTATTTATCAGATTTTTCAAACTAAATGGCGCCGTCTATGTGTCGGATTTGAAATGCAGAGGGAGGAAATAAGAACGGCGAGTGCATTGTTGTAGAATAACGCACTCTCCCGGTCTTCTTTGTTTTTACAAGATAAATCTCCGATAGTGTTAGAATATGAAATATATCACGCTTCTGACCTTCTTTGTTTTTAAAAGGGAAATCTCCGATAGTGTTAAAAGACGTCATTTATGCTCGTTTTGAAGGATCAAATAATAACATTATATTATAATCGAACATTTACTTCTTAACCAATTACATTATATAAAAATGTGAAAGGTTGTTCATTTTTATGTGTTCCAACTATTGAACTTTTTGTTTAAAAGTGTTATTTTTCAAAGCAATGAAACTTTTGTCAATGCATAAATGTACTTAAAATTATTTTAGCACAAACGTCCATAACAACAACTTTGAAAGGCCGGGTTGTACGGTCTTGTTCCACAACATGCACTGCTGAATCCTTTAGGACTGAGGACGCCATTACAACATTTCTGAGTTTGTGTGTTGTACGATCTTGCTCCACAACATGCACTGCTGAATCCTTTAGGACTGAGGACGCCATTACAACATTTCTGAGTTTGTGTGTTGTACGATCTTGTTCCACAACATGCACTGCTGAATCCTTTAGGACTGAGGACGCCATTACAACATTTCTGAGTTTGTGTGTTGTACGATCTTGTTCCACAACATGCACTGCTGAATCCTTTAGGACTGAGGACGCCATTACAACATTTCTGAGTTTGTGTGTTGTACGATCTTGTTCCACAACATGCACTGCTGAATCCTTTAGAACTGAGGACGCCATAAACAACATTTCTGAGTTTGTGTGTTGTACGATCTTGTTCCACAACATGCACTGCTGAATCCTTTAGAACTGAGGACGCCATTACAACATTTCTGAGTTTGTGTGTTGTACGATCTTGTTCCACAACATGCACTGCTGAATCCTTTAGAACTGAGGACGCCATTACAACATTTCTGAGTTGAAGGGTTGTACGATCTTGTTCCACAACATGCACTGCTGAATCCTTTAGAACTGAGGACGCCATTACAACATTTCTGAGTTGAAGGGTTGTACGATCTTCGACCACATACAGCTATTTATAAGAAATAAAATACTAGAAATGAACAGCCTTTTACATGAAAGTGCTAATTTTAACAGATTTATGCGGGAAAATGCAATATATTGATGAGAGGACTCAGCCATCAAAATCCACCTCTTTTAATGAGGACCCTTTATGACTTTAAAAGGGGCATTTCTTATTGACAAAGAGCAACATTTCGCGTACCATTTTGAACAATACTTTACTAATCATAAGTTATATTGCATTTTTATGCCCAGGGCCTTAATAAGCATCAAGAAAAATGTGGAAAATGATTATCCAACAAGACAGTGTTTAAAATTCCACCCATAATCCTTACCCGCTCAAACTCCAGTTACAGTTACAAATATGTAAGCTATACCTTAACCCGTACATAAAATATTGTATTACCTCCGTCTATAGTCCCAGAACAGCAGAACAGAAAGGCCAAAAATGCAAAAACAGCTACTTTCATCTTGTATTCTTCCCGTCTTTGTTTAAATCTACAATAAATCCTGGTTATAATTAGAGGATATTGAATGAGTGTAAGTTCAATTCTGAATTTATTGCACGAGTTCAATAAAATTATTTTATGCGAGCCTCTGGCGAGCATAATATTATTTAATTCAACGAATGCAATAAATTCAGTAATGAACTTACACAAATTTAATATTCTGTTTATCACATACCCAAAATAAAGACAGTTTAAAGTGAAATAAGAGTCATTTTTTCATTGACGCATATAACGCTAACATTTAGCGCGTCTTTACACTATGTTTGTAGAACGCTAATGACGTCACATCAAAATATATGCACGGCCGTGCAATACCATATTTACGGAGTCGCAAAATCGGCACGGGTGTGTGATAAATAGAGTATATGACGCCAGAAATGTTTCGTATATGAATAAATATGGAATTTATAAATAAAAATAATCTCGAAATAAAAATAATCTCGACCAAACGTGTAAATCTTGTTTAATGAGGGATGTCTTTCATGGTTAACTTTTAAATATTTTTTTAGTTACAAATATTTAACCAAGATGAACTATTATTTTTCTTTACAAGCATTTGAACAAAAGTATTGAAATTCATTTTTTTATCAAAAATGATAATTATTCAGTAAATCTGTTCTATTGCATTTATCAGATTAATACTCAGATTTATCACGCACCCGTGCCGATTTTGCGACTCAGTAAAAATGGTATTGCACGGCCGTGCATATATTTTGACGTGACGTCATTAGCGTTATACAAACATAGTGTAAAGACGCGCTAAATGTTAGCGTTAAACTATAGGCGCGTCAATGAAAGATGACTCTTATTTCACTTTAAACGGTCTTTATTTTGGGTATGTGATAAATAGAATATTAAAATCATGTAAGTTCATTACTTAATTTATTGCACGGGTTGAATAAAATAATATTATGCTCGCCAGAGGCTCGCATAATATACTTTAATTTAACTCGTGCAATAAATTCAGTATTGAACTTACACTCATTCAATATCCTCTATTTATCAAATTTAAAATTACGGTGATGATAATACTTATTCTAGTTACATCATTATAATTATCATTTTCGTCATAATTATACTTATTTTAATAATCTAAATTAAATTTATGAAAGTGTATTAACTTAG